TAATGACATTTTCCACTGCTGCCACACAAAAGATCAGCCCTCAGACTTAGAAATGCACTGTTTGAGGCACAGTTTCTTTGTGCCATCAGAGGTGTGCATTAGCAAGTCATGGTCTGTAGCATCGTCTAGGATCCTGTGGGTCAAGCAGAGAGAGGGGAGTTTAATTTCAAGAGCTTGAACTAGTTTCATATCCCAGGTCCACCACTGGGATGGTGGATGACATTCAGCAAGTTATTGAACCTCTTTGAACTTCAGTATCCTCATGTTTAAAATGAAGGATCACTATAGTACCCATCTCTTAGGTTCCTTAGGTGAGGATTAAATTGGCTAATCAATTAGACTGGGGCCTGGTTTATAGTAAGTCCTCAATAAGTGCTAGCTACTGTTATTACAACTCTGAGGGTAGTTAGAACGGTTTCGGTCAAAAATTGTAAGGGAATAAGAAAAATAATTTTTAAAGGAGCGGTGGGTACTCAGAAAGACTTTTCTGGGATTGGAAAACCTCTTGAACTTCCAACAATCAGTAATCTTTTATGGGCCTATTGTAGCTTTTTGCCCCTGTAGCTTTACATCCAATGGCTATCTTAATTACCCCTACATTTTTAACTGTTACTTATTTTTAAAAAATTTTCCCAAGTTTTGTCTCTACTCAATAACTTTTATAGCTTTGTTGAGATATAATTGATATACAGTAAACTCAGTACACAATTTGATTAGTTTTGATATAAATATGAAACCACCACCAAAATCAAGATAATGAACATGTATATCACCAGGAAAGTTTCATGTTCCCTTTGGTTATCTCTCCATCCTACCCCTTCTGGTCCCTCCTGGCCCCTCACAACGCTCTACCCCTATTCCTAGGCAAAACCAGTCTACTAGAATTTTATATAAATGGACTCATATAGTAGGTTTGCTATTTGTCTGGTTTCTTTCACCCAACATAATTATCATCCATTTTGATGTGTGTACAAATAGTTCATTTCTTTTTATTGCTGCGTACTCCACTATTATCTTCTTTGTTCACTCTTTACCCCGTCTTGCTTAACTGGCCATGGTATGGAGTAAAGATCAATTTTAAATATTTAAAAATATTTATTGATTAAATATCTGTGTTTCCTGTCCCCCCCCCATTTCATTGTTATTCAGTATACACAATAAAGAATATACAGCAATTGTAGGTTCCCTGAGAACAACACCCATTTACATTCCATATGCATATTTTTACAGTGGTGTCTATAAGCAATGTTACTATTTATTTATTTGAATGTTGAGATTAAAATTTTCTCCTGTCTCATTGGCTTTCAGTATAAAGAAAGCACCCTTCCATTAGCCTAACCAATGAATTGACTGAAATTCAATTATATAAATATTTGCACATAGTTTTCATTTTCATGGTGAAATATTTATTCTGTTAATGTTACAGTTTTTTTTTTTTTTTTTAAAATGTGGACAGTATGTTCTCAATTCCCTCGCAGCTGGAGCATAACATGAAATAAACTAAAAAACTGATACAGCAAAAGTAATACATGTGTAAGATAATAAGAGACCATTTGGGAGGCAAGTCCATTTTTGTAATGACTTTTTGCCAACATCATAGTATCTCTCAACTATTGACATTCCTGCATCTGGGAAGGAAGAAGATAAAAATTCCCATTCAAAATGCCCGTTCAAGTTTGGTGAAAGATTTAATTTCTTCATCTATCACAGTGTCACCAGCCCTATGAATACTATAGATCATGCCTCAGTGCAGGAAGTACGGGGACTTGGCAGTGTAGAGGGCAGTATTTAGCCAGAGGGAATCATAAAGAAGCCAGAGAAAACAAACGTTACCCCTTCTGCACCACAAACTTGTGTTCTGGGCAATTGTCCTGAGTGCACTGTGCCCGAGAAGCCTGGGAATGCAGGAATTGAAAAACTGAGCCCGTAATGGAGATGTATATACTGACCTTAAAGATGCTACAAAGATTCTAGTAGCAGATAGATTTTTATGGAGAACAATAAAAAGTAAGTGCAGTTTCTATACTGGAAGGTAACTTGGAGATTATTTGGTCCACACTTTTATGTTGCAGGTGACTTGCCCAAGGTCAAACAATAACTCACTGGCAGAAATAGGACTAGACCTGGTATTTATGAACCACACACTTTTGCCCTCTCCACGTTGCTACTTCTGTTCTGTTGGCGCTGATCTGTTGGGGTAGGGTGCTGCAGTATATGGTTTGTTCTTGTTGAGCTGCCCCATGTAAAGGTCTCTGTTGCCTGGGACATGATGTCCTTGGGGAGCTGTTCTTCTGGAGCAGGGTGTCGTGTTTGGGGTGAGTTTACTTTGCTGAATGGAGAATTGTGCTTGCTTGAGCCTACCAGCCAGCTATGTGACAGAAAGGCCACAACAAGATGCAACACTTGCTTAATGGATAAACTCATGGTTTTGATTGTCAAATGACCTATCCTCAAGTAGTCTGGTAAAATCTTTCTACTCAGGAAGGCCATAATTTTTTTAAAGTGTTTTTTTATTTTATTTTATTGAATTTTAGAGAGAGAGGAAGGGGATACACACACACACACACATATGTATATACATAAATACATATATATACACACACACACATATATACATATATACACACACACATACATATATATACACACACATATATATATACACATACATATATATATATACACACACATATATATATATTTGTTGTTGTTCTACTTATTGGTTGATTTTTTTATGTTCCCTGACTGGGGATTGAACATGCAACCTTGGCATATCGGGACGATGCTCTAACCAACTAAGCTACCCAGCCAGGGCCTAGGGAGGCCATGCTTTTAATTTTTTGTTTTTTAATCCTCACCTGAGGATATTTTTTCCATTGCTTTTTAGATAGAGTAGAAGGGAGGGAGCGAGGGGGGTAGAGAGAGAGAGAGAAAGAGAGAGAGAAACATCGATGTAAAAGAGACATATCAATTGGCTGCCTCCCACATGACCCCCACCGGGGCCAGGGATCAAACCTGCAACCCAGGTACATGCCCTTGACCAGATATCAGACCTGTGACCCTTTGGTCTGAGGCCCTATACTCTAACCGCTGAGCCAAACCAGCCAGGGCCATACTTTTAATTCTTGTAAGAGCTTGTCCTGTTTTCAGGTTCCCCTTCCCTAGTCTTGACATCTGGGTCTAGTGCTGTCTTGCATTTGTCTGTGAAGTTTGTCCCACCTCTAAGACATCTTATACACAGGGATTCTCAGTGGCGGTGAGGGGGCAACAAATGAAGACCATCCTCTTTCACGGAAATCACTGATTTGGTCCAACCCCTTTATTTTTCATATCTGAAAATGGAGATCAGAAGTCTCCATTGTCTCAAGTCTTGTAGTAAAGCATGTGTCTTAGTCAGTTTGAGCTGCTATAACAAAACACCATAAACTGGGTGGCTTATCAGTAGTACACATTTATTTCTCACAATTCTGGAGACTGGAAGTCCAAGGTCATGGTGTCAGCATGTTTGGGTACTGGTGAGAGCCCTCTTCTGGGTCGTGGACAGGGAACATTACTTTGTATCTCACATGGTGAAAAAAGAGCTAGCTAGCCCTCTGTCCTCTTCTTTTAAGGATACTAATCCCACTCATGGGGGCTCCACCCTCATGACATAATTAGATCCCCAAAACTCTACCTCCACTCATCATCACATTGGGTCTAGAATTTCACCAAATACATTTTGAGGGGACATAGTCCACAACAGATGAAAACTCAATCTCTTGTTCTGCACAGGATTACGTATAGCAAATCTCTCTGAAACACTCACTGTTCATGCCTCATTAGAATCGGTGATGATGCCTAACATATGTTGAGCAGCTGCAGTACCTAATAGGGGCAGGGTTGGGCCAGAAGAATTTATTGGGAGAGGGTGTCTCATAAAATGAACAACTGCATGTGAGTATAACTGTGACACTGCAGACTGTGTACTGGAAAACCTTCTATGGAGGTACATCCACCGTCTGTCTATATCTTAACTGATATAGGAAAAAGATTGGGTTATTGGTCTCACAACCAAAGGCAAACAGAGCAATTCAGTTTCTTTCCAAGAGACTAGGTATTACTCTGATCCTCTCCAATCCAAATTAGACTGCCTTTCTTTATGTTCTAACAGCATATTATTTGTATCTCTGTTTAGCAGGTGAGTCATTTCAGTCTTCATCATGTTAGTGGTTCCCATGTTGATAATGTGAAGATGTACAAAGAGGTGTCACAGGGACCCCATTCCCCAGCTAGGGAAGCACTTAATAAATCTTTGGAGTATAAGAAAAATATTATTTGATACCCTTGAAGGTAATAATAAACCCATACATTTAAAAAAATATATGTTTTCATTGATTTCAGAGGGAGGAAGGGAGAAGGAGAGAGAGATAGAAACATCGATCAGCTGCCTTCTGCTCATCCCCTGCTGGGGATCAAGCCTGCAACCTGGGCATGTGCCCTGACTGGGAATTGAACTGGCCACCTCCTGGTGCATGGGAAGACGCTCAACCAACTGAGCCACACTGGCCTCAAATAATTTAGTAAGATAATTTTGTTCATAGTCTTGATAGTTCTGCTAATAGTATCTGAGATTATCCCCATTTATCAGAGTGAGAAATTGAAGTGAAGAAGGGGTAGTGACCTGCACTGGAAGGATTAGGAATAAGAAAGAGACATCTTCTCATTTAGCCTGCTCTGTGCACATGAGACCAGGACACAGAGATCCTGGTTTTCATTTCAGAGAATAACAGAGAACAACATTTGGGGGGAAGAACTCATGACTTTTAAAGTTAGTTGTGCCCTAAAACTTACTATTTTCAGTAAAATTATTTAATGTGGAAGGAATGTGGTCAAGAATATAGGAACATGTCATTTGTAATGTGCAGCATCCGAAGGCACTTTCTTTTGTGAAACATTCTTGAGAAAGATAATTTTAGAAGTTGGCTACACAGTTCCTACCTTAACCCTGTTCTGTCTTCCAGGACCATAACATAGAGTGCTCCACTGATTTGTACACATAAAAAACATTACCATAACAGAGGACTTCACTGATTTATACAAATAAAAAACATTACCATCCAGATTTAAAAACATATGTTATCATCCTCATGTGCACGAAGAAAATCTCACCAGGCAGCTTTCGTTGGAAGATACGTATCTAGTCTCTTGGTGCTTTGCATTTGTTGTTTTAGGCACACTGATGATAAAAGGGATTTTTAATCTTTTCTTCTTATTTTTCACATTTCAGGAATCAATGTTTCTCAAATATGGTTTAGCTGAAATAAAGATTTACATTTGTGAAGGTGAGGAAGCATTGAAACTTAGGTATACGGGTGGGTATTGTTGCATCATTGGACCAATTGTGTTTTTGAAGTTCTTTGGAAATGAAAGTGCTGGGAACTTTCCCCTATTAATTGTTCGTTGAATAGAATCGGTTCTTAGATTGTTAAAATATTCTTTTTTTTTTTATCCTCACCCGAGGACATTTTTCCATTTTTTGTTCAGGTAGAGTGGGAGGGAGAGAGAGGAACAGAGAGAGAGAGAAACATCGATGTGAAAGGAACACATCGAGTGGCTGCCACCGCACGACCAACCAGGGCCGGGGACAAACTGCAACCGAGGTACGTGCCCTTAGCGGGAACCGAACCTGGGTCTCTCCAGACCGCAGGCCGATGCTCTAACCGCTGAGCAAAACTGGCCAGGGCTGTTAAAATATTCTTGATCTCAGTGTCCTCATTTTCCTTTTTCTCTTTTTAAAATATGTTCATTTATTTATTTATTTTTTAGAGAGAGAGAGTAAGGGAGAGAGAGATAGAAATATTGATGTGAGAAAGAAAAATCAATCGGCTGCCTCCTGCATGCCCCCTACTGGAGATCAAGCCCACAACCCAGGCATGTGCCCCAATCAGGAATTGAACCGGGACCTCTCAGTCCATGGACGATGCTCAGTTCACTGAGCCACACCAACCTGGCCAGTGTCCTCATTTTCAACTGCTCTTTTTAGTTGTTGATTTTTGGTAGTCTTCTTTCGCATGATGGGAAGCTGATTTATTTATGGAGCACTGCTAATTGATGTATGTGAAACTCGATTACTATGGAGTGGAGTGGGGCAGACATCCTGGCCTTTAGAATCCCAACTGGGACATTTCCAAAACCCAAGTATGTGATGTTTCCATGGACGTTCTCCCGGCCACTCTCACGCACATCTTGCTTTCTTTTGTCCACTTGTTCCTATAACTAAAACTCGTGAAGCCACCACAGAAGTTCTTCTTTAATCCTCACTCTCTGTGCCAAACTCTCCAGAACACACTGGGCATCAGATGACAGGGAAGGGACCTTAGATCTGGATACAAATATTTAGCCTGAGGGAATGTTATTGAGAACTGTTTCCTGAATTGGACAAAGCAAGGTACTATATCCACTCTGTGTCTCTGCAGTTGCTTCCCTGGATTTAGCTTTCATTTCTTAGCAGATTTTTTTTTTTTAATCCTCACCCAAGGATATTTTTTCTAAATATCTTCAGATAGAGTGGGAGGGGAAAGGGGGGAGAGAGGCACACACACATATCAATTGGCTCCCTGTCACACGACCTCGACCAGGGCCAGGGGTGAATTGCAGCCGAGGTACATGCCCTTCTCTGGAATCGAACCTGTGACTCTTTGCTCCATGGGCCGATGCTCTAACCACTGAGCAAAACTGTCCAGGGCAGCAGATTCTTATTGTATATTCCTCTGATACTCAAGAAGACTTGTCCAAGAATGCTTTTGTCACTGTGATTTCTTATGAAGGATGAGGGATTCAGGATTTAGGAGATGGGGAGGGTCTGTGTTCCCACAGCCTCAATGGCAGTGTCTGCCAGGTTACCACTTTACTGCAGCCTGTACCAGCCTCTGTTAGAGAATCAGACTTGACGACTAGTACTTGCAGATAAGGCAGTGTTGCATAATAGAAAAAATATAAAGGCTTGCTTTCCTTTTTATTTTTAGAGCTTAGGTTTTGAAGTCAGAAAAATCCTGGTTTTACCATGTACTAGTTGGGAAGGTTTCCTAAAACCTATGAGCCTCATTTCCCCCATTTGTAAAATGGGAATATTAATGCATGTATCCACAGCATTGTTGGGGGTGTCAAATGAGTTCATATGTAATGCAGCTAGCAGTGTATGGAATGTTATAGGTGTGCAGTTCCTTCCCTTTCTTCTAATGGGGGATGTGTCCAGCTGAATGCACCCACTTCTCCTTAGCATACCTGTGGTCACTGTCCATAATTGTTCCTGATGTGAATTCTCCTCCCACCGTGATTGCTAAGGAAGTCTTGCCAGTCGTTCTGCCTTCCTGTCTCTTTCCTTTTCTATTACTAGCTTGAGATGACTGCCTTCTTGGGAACATGATGTATGTAACTGCTAAGGCAACACTGTACCTCCCAGAGCCAAGGATCAGAGTTTTAATAAGTTGTTTAGTAGGAAAAGAGGAAAGAGCTGAGCCATGGCTGCACTTCGGCATTCCTAGGACCAGACTTTTAGAGGCTGGAGGAATGTAAACTACGATGTGTAGATGAAAAAACTAAACATTTCAAGTTTCTGGAGTGAAAAGAACAAATTAGATTATTAATGATCATATAGAGGTAGGAGCTGACAGTCTACTTAGTTTCATTACAAAAACAAGAGTGGTTTTGAATAATGGGGATTTCCCCCCTTTTTATTTAGATGGCAAAGAAAATTTATTAAGGATATCAATAAAGACCATGTCAGTGACTTAGCCCCCAAAGCTGCCCCCTGCATGCTAAAAGAGAAGACAAGTTAAGTGGTTGAGAATTAGACTGTGAGATGGAAAGCCAAATTATAAACTCATTTCAACTCCTGGCCTGCAGGCTCTGGAGTAACATTTTTGTTGTCAGGGGTGGAAAACAACTCAGATCCGGGTCCATGTGATTATTCCACTTTGGCATTGCTGCCTCTCTGCCAACTGCAATTCCATTTAGACATAGATTAATTAGCCAGGAGAGAGGGATGTGGAGTTGTGAGAGCAAAGCCCCAAGAGGCAGGGCTGCAGCCTGTAGAGGGCACCACGGAGCCTGAGAGAACCCACTGGCCCAGTCCACTTGAGCATGAAACCCACAGTATGCTGGACAGTGTGTGGATCCAAATGGACTCCAAACTTCTACAGTGATACACCCCATTCTTCCACTGACTTTGTCCGTATCTCAGAGAAAACCTTCAAACTGAGGTGGAGGATGACACAAAAGAGTGGCGGGTTAGCGTTAGTCTTCAGAGGCTGTGCCCCCGAGAGAGGGGCTAGTGGATGCAGACCTGAACCGGTTAAGTGTCTCCTCTGGACGGGTCACCATTCCGCACCTTTCTAATTTTTGCACGTAAAACGGAAACAATAGTACTTTTTACTTTTTGCTATTACTTGAAGTACAAAGACAGGTGAGATAAAATCATGAAAACTCTTGGGAAAGACGACTCTGTTAATTAATTGAAGATAGCATTATTAACAGATTGAATAGGAGGGCTTAGTCCCTTTCCAGGATATTTTCCTTGCTTTTGCTTCCAGAGTGTTTTGCTTATCTCCTTCCCATCTGCTTTTATCTTCCATGACACATCTGTGTCCTCCAGTGGAGTTCCTTCCAGGCAGGCATGGTGTGGGGGCGCGTGGCTGCACCTCGCCTGCCTCGCTCTGCTGGGAAGACGGCGTGGGCCAGAGCGGCGGGGCAGGCGGCATTGGGGTTGCGCTCCCGCGGGGGGTGGAGGGGGCCGAGAGCACGCGCACCCTGCAGGGAGCTGAGCTCCTGGGCTGCAGCTGAGGGGGCAGCGGTGGCTGCTCTCGGGGTGGGCGGGGCGGGGCGGCGCTGCAGCGGTCCAGGGACCTGGGCGTTCCTGCCATCCTCCGGACTCTTTCCAAACGTGTGAACCCTTTTTCTCCCCCGGGGAAAACTTCCAGGCGGATTTGCTGGTTTTTAACATTTCATTACGTAGAACCATTAAAAAAAAAATTTGGTGGCGCTGGACATGGTCCTTTCAGAGGGGGGCAGCACTTCAACTCCTGGCCCCAACCTGGCAGCCCAGTGGCCTCAGTGCTGCTCCAGCCCGAAGCTGAGCGGCCGCCAGTTAGGACGCAGCGCGTGGGCAGCGGGCACCTTTCTTGCGAGGTTTGCTTTTTTTTTTTTGCTTCTTTATCAAGTAAATATGACTCCACTTTGGTTTTACACAAACTTCTTAATGGCTTTCACCATTTATTAAACCTTGATTATGGAGTTTTTTGTTTTTCAAACAAATGTTTTGTATTTTATCTGTTAAAATAGGGAAAGGAAAATACCATTGGGCTTTTCTGGGGTGATACTTTAGATGAATTGTATTTTAAATCCTAAATGATTTAAAATTTTACTATTTTGTAATACCAGCTATGTTTAAGGGATGGAAATTTACAGGGGCTACCTCCTATTTTTATTTTATTTCTTTGTATTTTAGAGTCCTTTCCATCTCAAGGAGAGAAGCCAAGGTATTTTTACCCAGTAGAGGAATGATGTAGTTCCATCCATAACATTCTTATACTTCCAGGTAAGTGACTGTTAATCATAAATTGCTTACGCAACAGGCTTTGTATGGTTTGACTTGAACTCAGCATTCTGGTATGTTTGAAATATGTTGATTTCATTTCACTTTCAATAGTTTGATTAGTAGCAAATTATACTTTAAGATATGAATACTTTTTGAAAGTAATAAAATTACTGGGCTGCTTTGAATCCTTTTATTCATTTTGTCAAGCCTGTAATCTACATGTGACTTGACCAACTTCTTTAGAATTTATCTCTTCCCAAAGTGGCGAATGACTTCAACCGATAATGTAGTTAGAAGAACTACATGATTCTTTTTAAAAACTTTTCACTTGAATAGGAAATTTGTTCTCTTTTTGGAAGCTGTGACAGAATATTAAGCTTTCTCAAATATTTAACCTATAATCAGATGGGCACCATAATTTTGACCATCCTGCAAAATAATTATTTAAATAAAATGGTTAAGGAAATTGAAGAATGAACTTCCTTTCTAACTTAGAACATCGTAGAGGTATACTTTCTGGAAGTCTTGGAGACTAGTACCCTGATGGATTATATGGTTGGTTTTAGTCTGGGGACAAATGTAAATCTCTGGAATGTTGTTTTAGTTCTGCTCTTGTAACCAGTAATTTTGTGTTTCTCTGCAATAAGATATTTTATTACATCTGGCAAAACTAAACTTTTAAAAAGAGAACCTTAGGGACATCATTAATGTTGAAATGCAACAGCATGAATTGGGAAGTTATAAATATGGTTCTTATCTTCAGCAGAGCAAACCTTTTTTAGTGTTCTTATATAGAAATTAGTCAATAGACATCATAATGAAAATACGTAAGCTGTGCTCAGTATATACATATCATCAAGAAAACCCCCCTTGCTCTTCCTCTCCATTTAACAAATTTCTATAGAGGTTTTGTTCGTGATTTTGTATTTTTTGTTTTTACTTTTGTTACACTGGTTAAGATTAAAGAGTGGAAATAAAAACATTTGATTTTGATTAACGAACTGCTTTGCACTAAAACAATAGAGTATGAGGAGGTTAAAAGGGATTGTGTCTGAGTTGTTAATAATAGAAAAATAAAAACAACCTTTGACCAAGAGTTAATAATACAAACAAATATAACCATAGAATAATTTTTCACAAATTCTTTCCTGAGTAGAAAGTCAAGTGGCTAAGAGGCCTGAATGATGTAGGATCAACTTGAGGGGCATATGGAAATGTTCCAATCTTAGGTCTTGTGACCTTTAATATTTTTGTGGACAACTTGGATGGTGTAGAAGAGAATAATGTCATTAGAACACAATGTAGACCATAATTATAAAAACCTTGAGATGACCGTATGAAAGAGCCAAAGTAAACTTTACAAAATAGAGAAGCAATCAAAAGCTGATTGAGGTCTACTTGGGTCAATGCAAAGTTCTAGGGTGTTTGTGCTCTGATACGAAGCTATTAGAGTAGCAAGACAGGGAATGATTGAGGGTGGGGGTGGGGCAAAAGGGCAGGGCCAGACATCTCGAGGTGGCTTTAGTGGTAGTCACAAGTGCTGTGGGTCCCTGGACAGAGACATGGGATGTTACCAGGGGGCCGAATCTCCAGCTGGGCAGTTTTAGCTTGGGAAGGTCAGTTTTCCAGGAATTACCCCTTATTGACTGAGTCCTTTAGAGACTCAGAGTGTGCACCTTCAGCAGACCTGCAAGAAACAAACGGTAAACTGGGAAAAGACTGACAGGATTGTTTCTCCCTCTGGTAGGCTGAACATTCATACCTGTGCGTGGTGGTCATGGAATGCAAGCAAGCAAGGAGAGGTTTGCTTGTTTGATTCACATATTTAGCAGCATTAGGCCATGAAAGGTTTGCAATATTCTGGTGTCCTACAGACATTCTTCACAGAGCTGGCTCCGGCACAGTTCCTTCTCTGAACTGCTGCTCACATGTTTACCCGAGGCTGCTGGTGTATTTCCTGTCTCTCCCTATCCTGAAGTGTGTGCACATTTCCCACACATCCTGAATTCCTGTCCTCCTATCAAGGGAAGGGTGTGCTGCTGTCTTACGACCTGTGCTCCTGGTCACCCCCTGTCCCTCCCCCACTCCCTGTGACTGCTGGAAGCTGTGTTGGTCTCCACACTCTTCTTTCTGCTTGGAATACTTCCTTCCTTCCCGGCCCAAGGAACGTTTTACTCATCCCTCAGCAGCCATCTGTGGAGCGTTCCTATCACAGGCATTTCCAACACTGAGACAGCTCCTGGCACCTGTGAGGCACTGAAGACAGGAATGAATGGGTGAGTGAGCGAGTTAGTGGAAAAGTGAATAGAGGGATGTCCTAGACCTGAAGGTGCCTCCTCTTTGTCCCCTAACCCTTCTGTCTTGGCACATGTCGCCGCATTATAATGGCTGTTTGCACAATGGTCTCCTGGACTTATGACTGTATTTGCACTTAAAATCTGATTGAGAATTACCCGTGTCCTCACCTGTTTTACCTCAACAAATAGGATCTTATTGCTCATCCAGAAATGTTTGTATGACACTTAAAATTTTGTTTTTATGATTAAGAGCAGACATGTTTGCTCTGTCACAGGCAGAGGGCATGACAGACTCCAGGATTTGATTTGATTGCTCATAACGAGCCAGCTACTTCAGTCATTTTTTTTTTTTCCTATCACACTGATGGACCTTTCATATGGGAAATTGTGACTCTAAAGCTGTAAATTACACTCTGGTTCTTGAAAGAGCACAATTATAAAATGTTTAGCTGATACGTAGGACGTGCACTTTTCACTCCGAGCTCCTGACCCAACCAGGGGGTAACAGCTCTCCTGGAGACTTCCAAGCGGAACTCGAATCTGGTTAGCCTGGGGATGTGATTGGTCGGAAGGGAAGGCAAGGACCTGCTGGGGCTGCGTGTGACACTTTGAGAGAAAAGAGGGGATGAAAATTAGAGATGGAGGGTGGACCAAAGAGATAATTCTAACCTTCCGGAGACTTGCAGCTCAGTTGTAACTTTGGTTTTTATGTCATTACAAACGACCACCAGAAGAAACAACATTCAATCCAAGTTGATAGTTTAATTTTTTTTTCTGAAGTGCTTAAAAAATATATGGTAATTTGAAATAATAGTTAATGTTTATGTTTAAGTGTATTAATAAAGAGTTGCATATTTTCAACTCAGCAAACAAAAATTGAGACTTACTATGTGTTAGACTTTGAATGCCCTTGTGATTACCCAGTGCCAGTCCTTGGATTGGAATCCGGTGTCTGGCAAAGGTGTCCGTCATCTGCAGAGGACAGAAAAATATGGTGATGTTTTCAAAGAGTTAATATTCACTTTAAAGGAATAACCTTTACCTTGAAGTTCTGGTCTTTTTTTCTTATGTATTAAAATTGAAAATGTCTATTTTTTTTTTAGAATATAATGATAGTTAATATTTAAAATTCTATTTGTTGGCAAATTAAAATGTTGGATATCATTTAATAGGATTCTTGGTTCCAGGAAGCAGAAATCGATTAGGTTAACTTAAACAGGAAGGGAATCTATTGGGAGAATTTCCCACAGAAATGATGGGAGAACCAGCATCTCATGTACAGTATAATAAAAACCTAAAGCCAGAGTTACTTGTATCATTGAATGTGTCTTCTAAGTCTATAAAACATGTCAGTAGCCTACCTTGTCCCTAGCCTGTGAGATATATGGCCAGGAATAGAGGTCTTGATTGGGGAAAAAGGGTTAAATTAAAATTAAATTAAGAATCATCATGTGATTTATAACATGTGACTCTTATGATAATTTATTGCAGCAAAGCAAAATAAAATACTTACCTATGGCCTTGTCCTAATTTGGGTTATGACCTGAAGTTGGAGTGAGACTGTTCCTGGGTGCAGCGGAGTTGATTCCACTGGGCTGGTTGCGTTGTTTTTGTGTTACAGGATCACCTAACTTTTCTTCCCCTAAAGTCCTTACTGTGTGTTTTGGTCTCAGTGATATTGTTTATCTCACTGGAATTTGATACAAAGCATCTTACTCTTATTTTTAGTACTTAGAAAGCCATGTTATGAAAATCAGATGTGACCTGACTTATCTTCATCATTTGACCACTGTCCTTGAAATTCACTTCTCTTGGCATATATAATGTGACAAAAGCTCTTTGAGTTTTTTCTCCTCATTCTCTGGATGATCCAGCATAGTCCCCTTTCCTACCCCTTAGATACTGATGCTCCCTTAGCATTCCATGCTCCTGTCCTCTCATTCTGTATCAACTATGAAGTTTCTTCTGGTCTAAACGGGGAACTTTCATCCATTGACTGCTGACTTCCACATGTATTCCCCCAGCTCACTCTGCTCTCCTTGTCACGGACTGCTGGCCATCACTGCACATCCCACCAGCAGCCTCCACTCATGCCCCAGCCAAGCTCTCACCTCAGTCACCAGCACAGTCCTCTTCCTTCCAACCAGTTCCTTCACCATGCTTATGTGGTCTGTCATCAAGTGCCGCCTTCCTGCCCACCCCTTCTTCTCAAATTTGCTCACCTCGCATCTTTGCTGTTTCAGAGTTAACTCAAGCCCTTATTTATCACTTTTCACTTGGACTCCTGCCATGCTCTCCTTAACTCGTCTCCCTGCCTTCATTACCCTCCATTCTGTTGTAACTTGGACCTTTCTAAAGTGCATCTTTGCTCATGTTTCTTCTAGTTCAGAATCTCTTAGTGGCATCCAAGCACCTCTAGAGTAACCTGTGCTGTGGTGTGCCAACCGTACTGAACCTATGTGATCTCCAGCGTGACCCTCTCTCCCTGGGGCCAGGGCCTTTGCTGTTTCCTCTCCCTGGGATTTCCTTCCAAGCTCATTGGCTGGGCCAGTTCCTACTCATTCTCAAAGACTTGGCTTAGGTAGTCCCTTCTTCCTGGCCTCCTTGTCCCTGAGCTGACTTCCTTGGTTAACTTCTCCATGATGGCATTTACTAAGTGGTATTGTTGCCATTTGATTTTCTTTCTTTCTTTCTTTCTTTCTT